ATAATACTTGTAAGTGAGTGAGATAATAGGCCAGTAAAATCCGTTTGTTAGGGAAATTTTGTGCGCGTGTACAACATACTTCACTCACCTGATTTGTCATTGATCGTAAGAACAAGGGCGTCTTGGTGCTTACGTTTGTCACGTTGTCTGGCCTCTTCGTGAGTGATAAATTATTTTCGGATTCGAATGCAAGGATGCAATGGGTCCCTTTTTTGTACAAATTAATTATTCATGAACTTATCAGTAGTGAACATGGCATGGTATTTTACATTGCATGTGCTCAGTTCAGTAATCAATAATATCTAATTTAAGTACATATTATTGAATTTCATATTATTATATAGACGCATAAAGAAAGCTACCGTTTGACAATTAAAATTAGAGTAACATTACTTAATGTTTATTTCGTGTTATTATTATCACTCAATATTTCACTAACTACAAGTGTGATTTCACAAATCCACGTCCAAAATGCTTCGCACGCGAGTTCCGCGTTACAAGTACCGTTCGTGCACACCTTATGGTAATTATATTTGCATACGTACGTAAATGCGCGCTATAATATAAAAGCATAAATTACTTACAATTATCATACTTACCTCAAAAAGTGTTGATCCGGCTTGGAATCCTTTTTAGGAATGCGTGAAACGTTTCATTTTTTGTAACTGTTAAAAAACTCCCGCTTTCTTTGCACCCCTCATTAGTTGGATTATTTTCCGCTCGCTTACCTTAGCTCGAGATTTTTTCTCTCGGTCTCATCATTGCTTCCTTACTTTTACTAAATACTTATCTGTCCAACTACCTAACTTATTCTTTCTATTTCCGACCGTTGACCTACAATATATTGTATAATACATATTTTTTGAAATTGAAACTGAAATTTATACACCATTAAAGTATTGAAACGTGCGTGTCGGGAATCGTTGTAAAATAAATAAAGTGTTTATACGACAGAGCAATTTTTCTTTAGTGTTTTCTTGGTTGTGAAGAATCATATTAGTTTAGAGAATGCCAGCAATGAATAAGAAGTCCTTGTCGAAGGAGTTTTCTTCCCCGTCGGAAAATTCGTCTGTTGTCGACGGCCATCAAGAGGAGAATTCTACAATGATGGTACAACCTTCCTCCGGGGGAACCAAAAATGACAACGCCGTTGACAATTCTATCATTAATTTGGAAAAGTTTGAAAGTCAGCAACGTCCAAATTCACGTTCGCAGAAAATTGGCACCACTCATAATGGCGATAGCATTAAACCCGTTTCAAACGACAATAACCAGATATTGGCCACTGATAAGGTTGGGCTGGACTCCCAAACGATAAATGGCACTGACACAGAAACAGTGGCCCCATTCGAAGAAAAAGCTTCAAGTGCAAAGCATTCTTCAAACCGGTCAAAGGGTAGCAACAAATCTAACTCTACTAACCACCATAGTAGTAAACAGGTTGGAAACAAGGATTCGAAAGAAAAGCAGAAACAAGGAAACGGCACGACCTCCGATTCACGTGCAAAAATCGAATTGGATAGGAAGAAATCTTTGCCATCACAGAAACAGAAGAAGACACTTTCTTCAAAACAAAAAAGTGGTAGTGTAAAACCCGATGAGGATTCCCTTTCTGGTAGCGCCGCCGTCGCCAATAACCTATTGAATCGAAGGCATTCGGCTCCCCCCACCCTGACCCAATCCCATAGGAGCCGTCAAGGAATTACCGCCAGCAAAGATCGTGATCAATCAAAACCGAGTCCTTTGAGGACCTCGATTACACCCTCGGCTTCTCCTGACTCGCCTAATCCTCCACTCTTGTCCCCCAAGATATTGGAGCTACGTCGTTCGGAATCCTTTCAACAAAAGTCCGCAACTACCGTTGATGAAAATACGTCACCTACCTCCTCCACCAACGCAGGTACCATTAGCAACAAAGCAAGTACAAAGAAATCGATGTCGACTCCCACCATTAAAAAACGCCGTAGGGACAATACCAGAAGTCAGACTAGAAAGAATTCTGCTTTACCAAAAGGAGAAAATATCGAAGAGTTGCTTGCAAGATTAGAAGAGCAAAATTCCTTGTTGCCTCCGCAGGTACATTCCTCCTATGCTTTGTAACTTTCTTGAACAGGTGTCTTCTTCACTTTATCACCGAAGACTCCGTTCATTAGCTGTCATTATCATTAACTTTATTGACCGGATCATTCATTCTATTTTAGGATTCCACCGAATTTCTTCTTGCCCGTCTTGAACGTCAGAATGAAATGTTGGACAATGACCCGAAATCAGTGTGCATTGAATCCAATGTCCTCAAGGCAAATCTCGAAACCGTTCAATCTCTGATTGACGACATCACACTGTCCGCTGACCGATCTTCCGAACCATCAGATGAAATAATCATTCCAATACTTGACGCAGACGAAGACGATCCTTCGAAATCCGTCGATCTTTCGAATACAATCGATCTGGATTTCTGGACAGCGCTGATTCAAGATTACACTTCGGTTGCCACCAAATTACCGCACCTACTCGCCGCTAAACTGCAACAAGGGTTACCACCAAAGTTTAGAGGCTTGATATGGCAATCGATGTGCCAAGCATCTTCAACCTACTTGGAAACAATGTATTCTCAATTACTTTCGGAATCTTCTCCGTATGATAAAATTATCGAACGCGACTTGGCCAGAACATTCCCGACGATTGATATGTTTAAGGAAGAAAACGGAAAGGGACAGACAATGCTGTGGAATGTGTTGAAAGCGTACAGTTTGTATGATCCTTTGGTCGGATACTGTCAAGGGTTAGGGTTCTTGGTGGGACCGTTGCTGATGAACGTAGGTTTTTGGGATTGAAATTTCCTTTGAATCTTTTAAATTGATGCTAAATCAACTTTGTTTCGTGTAGATGGAAGAAGCACAGGCTTTTTGCGTGTTTGTTAGGTGAGCTACGTCAATAGCATTATGTTGCATTCGTGAAATACCCTTTTCGCACTGATCTAACAGGATACGCACGTACTTACAGGTTGATGGAAACATACGATATGAGGACGATGTTCACCCTGAAAATGGAAGGTCTTCAACAACGATTATTCCAATTTACCTCACTGCTCTCTCAGATCTGCCCTGATCTCTACGCCCATTTCCAAAAGCACGGTGTCCAATCCGCCATGTACGCCTCCCAATGGTTTCTATCACTATTCGCCTACACCTATCCTCTTCCCCTCGTCTTTCGAATTTATGATGTTGTATTTGCTGAGGGTGCTCCTGAAACAATCATGCGAGTGGCCATTGCCTTACTGAAGAATAACGAGGAAAAGTTATTAAGTTTCGACGAATTCGAAGATTTATTGGAATTCCTTACTTCTCGACTTTATGAGTCATATAACAATGAACCCACGGGGTTAGTAAGGGACGCCATGGCACTAAGCACGGTGATCACCAAAGCGAAACTCGATCAACTTTCCGAGGAATACGTTAAAGATCTGGAAGAACAGAAGAAACGTGCCGAAGAAATGGTGGCCGTTCGGTTCAACGGACGTTTCGGTCGCAGTAAAAAGGACAAGAAGGATGACTCTAAACGACGTGAGAAACGCGACAATAAGCGTTGGTCACTGAACGTCATGCGCAACCCTCGCCATTCGGTGGCCATCATGCAAAATATGCAGAATGCAATCTCAAATTCTTCTAATAACACGAGCAGTGATCAATCCTCGGATGAGGCACCTAGTCAAACCGAAGAAGTCACTAATCAAGCTACCGCTCCCACCACATCATCATCACCATCATCATCACCAACAACCTCATCATCATCATCACCATCATCACCATCAAATAACAATGAAATGGGTGTGCTTCATAAACAAATCGAAGATTTAGTGACGGCACTTTCGGAGCTTCAGAAAGACCATGCGGATGTCACCGAACAATTGGTCAATATTAAAATGGAAAAAGTGAATTTGGCTACCGAGGTAGAAGAACTCAAATCTAAACTTCGGGGGTTGGAGAAAGAGAACAAGCGAATGTCCTCATCTTCGATCATGTCAGTTGATTCGGCGGCAACGTTAAACGACGAGAGCAACACGTTGATGTCGAAATTAGCCTCGCAGATAATACCGAGCCTATCGAAGTTTAAAGAACAGTTTACAAGTTCCGATTTGCCACGTATGAAGCGGCGGTCATCGGTGCCCACTTACGTCGACAGTCCCAACGACCAAGCATTATCAGGGTTTACCCCGAATGAGTGGGCAACAGAATTAAAGAATTCGCTTCAACGAGAAATGTCAATGACCGAGGAATTATCCATTGTCAGTAGAGAGAGAGACACGTTATCCGCGGATAATGCCGAATTGGTTAAGCGCGTGGAGGAACTAGAGGCCGTCGTGACCAATACCACGAAAGTGCAAAAAACTCTGCGGGATAAAAACACATTCTTGCAAAAGGAGATCGAGCGATTAGATTTGGAGGCAGCACAAGCATTGTACGAACAGAGTACCATGGAAAATGATGTAAAGGAAGTGAAGACGCTGAGATTCGATAATGTGAGGCTCAACAAGGAGAACGAGAAGTTAAAGAAGGACATCACGGGATTAGAAGCGAAACTGTCGTGGACCGAAAACAGCAATAATGATAATTCATCTACCCAAGTTTCGTCACGACGTGTTTCTTCGTTTTTGAATTTCTTTAATACGAATTCGTCCAACACCGACCTCTCTACTAGCAATTATGATCAGAATGCAACACGTTCGGTAGCGACGGTATGTTCGAATGAGTGCCCCGCCGCGAAACGAGCTGATAACATGGAACAGATGGTGAAACATCTTCAATCTTTATTGGTCGACAGCGAGAACGCGAGGGACGCGATGAGCACCCAGTTGGAGGAATTAAATTCGCTGATAAATGGGTTCGCGGATATTTCGAGTATCGCACCGTTTGATCCTGAGGGATGCGTCATCACCCCAGAGCAGTCGGGGCCGTATCCAAAGCAAAAACCGGAGAAACGACTTTCATCACTGTCGTTGGCTTCTTTCTTTGGTTCATAACAGAGACATTTTTCCTACGGAAGGCATGCATCTCCACCTTTCCCAAATCATGAGTGATTGCTACAACATTTCTTGTATAATTGTAAGTAATGAATATTTTTTATGTAGAATTATATATTTATTTATTTATTGGTCGGAAAGGAGAGATGAGTTGAAGACCACATGGGAAAGACTATGTAATTTTTCATTTAGGGATTGATTTCTTTTTTAATCTTTCCTCGTTCGATTTTTTATACTGGCGATAAAAAATCGCCACCCTTTTATCACGCATTTTTTTTGTATTTTATTCACTTCTTTCGTTCGGTTTACTTTTTTCCTTTTTTGGTTATAATGCTTAGGATTCAATTAAGGTCACTTTTCTTGCACTGTACAGTATTTATTGTTGGAATGTATTTCCGTTAGATATTTTTCCTGTAGAAATATTCGGGACTACTTTTTTTTTTTTGGAGGGACTGCGTTTACGTTTACATTACCGGTGTAAAATCTGAATAGCAAACAAATTCCAGGGACCGATTGGTTCCTGATGACTCAAAACTCGTCAATATATATATATATATATATTTTATATGGTTTACGGTTGTCTTTACAAATAGGACAGACAATTCACTTTTTAGGACAATTTACATAGGACAAGCAAATAGGACAAGGTTTTTTTTCTTTTTACGGAATTACGTATAGATAAGATTTTTTTTTTTTGGTTTTTTTTTCTTTTTCAGTTTTGTACTTATATAATAAATTATTTTTCACTTTTCGTATTCTTTTCGCATAATCATAACAAGCAACTAAATTTAAATTTATGGTGTAAGTTACCGGGCACCGATATCACCACGTCAAGTGCGAACGAACATCTGAGAAACATAATAATAATAAGTATGCATATGTGTCTCGTCTTTTTATTTTTGGCACTTGAAAAAAAGAAAAAAAAATCAAGGTGATTAAAAGAAGTTCAAAAAAAAAAAAAGAGGTTTTTTTCATCAAACACCAAAATCTCACGATTGTTGGTAGACTGCCGTCATTTATTTAAGTTACAAACAATGAACGAAACATACGCGAATTAAAAAAAGTAAAAATCAATTCTATTTCTAAGCTGCGAAAGGGGTGGGGTTGCGCACTTTCTTTATGTATCTATCATAGACCAATGCCTTAATAATGTGTAATGTCGTGATGGCCGCTAGTATAATTGCAGCGATGCGAATAAAAGTATCATCCTGTCCAATAGCTACACCAATCAGAACCCAATCGATGACAAGAGCTCCAGCAATGTCACCTTTGAACTTCTCAATATAACTAACAGCGGTACCTTCCAAGAATAACAAGCCTATCAAAACGAGGAGTTGAATGAAAAAGCTCGGTGATTCATCATCATCATCTTTACTTGTAAATGCAGCAAAAAGACCAAGCACAGCTAAGACAACAATCCATGCATGAAACAGGGAAAAGGGGAAATGAATCCAAACGGTCTCTGCCAACGAATTTGATGGATACTTATTTTTAATGGTGTAGTATACATATGACACTTGGGAGGCGACGAGGAGAGTGACGATCCACGAAATGATAAGGTAATCCGATTCATACAAAGATTGACTCAAGGAGATCAACAATGCAATGAATAAGAAATGCCAATGTATTCCATCTGTAACAACGCCGTCAGCCTTCGGGAAGAACTGGTAGATAACTGCATGAGATTACAGTCAGAATTGGCCTTTCGGGTATTAAAAAAAGATAAAAGAATGATGAAGATCTTACTGAATCCTAGAAGAAGAAGGTGAATAAGACCCCAGATACCATACACATAGGATGCTGGAGTAATATAAGTTGGGTGTCTATCTTCGAGCGAAAATTGTGTCTAAAAGTTCAGAGACATTAGTGAGGTGTTTAAAATGGTTTGTATAATTTGATCTTGTCAAGAGGCGATACATACATCCTCATCATCAAAAAAGAGAAAGGAATAAACGCTTGATCCTAGAAAGAGAAAGTATGCCAGTACATTGACAATTTTTATGAGGAGGGGAAAGTGTGCCATTATGTCAAACTTTTCGTCAAAATTCGTGAAAAGGCAAAAAAATTCTTTTGTAAGTTCTCGTAAAAGTGTCCTTGTGGCGGATTTATATGTCTTTATATTGTGTTTATGGTGCTTCCTGAGGTTTTCCACTGCTACAATGCTTAGACGTTCGCTTGACTTTGTTTTTGGTAAACATACTGTAAGCCACAAATTTTTAGCCGCGCAAAAAATCTAGCCCAATCGTACGCTCGAAAATTTTAAATTTCTTTGAGCCTTCTCCGCGACTTGGCGAACACCTCATTTCTGTTGAGTGATTACCCTTTTGGACCCATGATTTTTTGCACACGACACGAAAGCCACCTGTTTGTATCAACAAACAAAAATAAAATAAAAAAACCAGACAAAGTTTCCAAGGAGCGACTACTCGTTAAATAAACAGAGTGGCAAGTCCCCGCTTACATACAATATCACTTAATATTCTGTCTTTCGCCACATTCATTCATTACATAGAAAGAGCAGAACACCATTATTGGCTGAATAACCGGGTCGACTACGTTCGGTTTGACCGAAATAATAGTAAAGCTTATTCTCTTTGAATGTTACCCTCTTGATGTTTTCATGTTTGGAGAAACCATTTACTTATGACATCCCGTATTGCCCAACCGCTGAAAAGAGTAATAAACATAACAGACAGACATTACTTGCTGTATTTTACATGTAATGACTCTTGCTTATTGATGAAAAAGAAAAAGGCTAATCCTGTTGTGCTGCAATGAATCTATGTAAACAAACAAAAAGTAAAACTTATAATTTAATTATTTATTCTTTTTTTAATTTTGCCTTGGAATTAGAAATTTATATTCAAAACTTTATAAGTAAAGCAGCCGGGGTAGATGCGACATATTTTAATAACACTTGTAAATAATCAATCAATATGACTTTGTTGATTAATACATTCTAAGCAAGGCTTCAAGCTGTTTTTCGGCACTTAAATCTTTGCAAAAGTTAAGTTCGGACTTAACAATTGGAAAATAAAAAAAAAAAGGTTAATAGAAAAAATGCAAGGCCAAAATTTTATATATGGAACATGAATTACCTCTTTTACACCAACGTAACATCGGACAAGGGGTTCTCCCAAAGCATCAATAAGCACGGTATCATTCTTTAACGCGTCCAAAGTTTCACGAAGACTCCCTGGCATACGTTCGACAATGCCTAAATTCTTGCGTTCCTCATCAGTTAATGACGCAGGATCATCTGCAATCGAAGAAAAAGAAGAATGTGAATAGGCGACTACCTCATCAAGGGTTAAAACCGATCTGGAATGAAATAATACCTAAGCAAGGAGGGGTATTGAGCTCCAATTTCCGTTTAATTCCATCTAAACCGGCAGCAATGATGGCGGAAATTACCAGGTACGGGTTGGAGGTGGCGTCAACAAATTTATGCTCGAAATTAATATCAAAGGTGGTTTCCCCTTTAGCTCCTTTCTTCGGTCGGTAACAAACTCTAATGGGTGTTTCTCTATGATGCCCAATAATGAAGTTAGGCTCCTTGTTAGAAATAACATTTGAACAATTTTCAAACACCTACCGATTTTCAACCCCCCAACAAACCCAAGAACCGGCCCAACAATGATCAACAGTTCGTGTGTAAGAATGAGCTGTCGGTAGAGTGAAGGCGCATATGGCCTTAATGTGATGAATCACTCCGGCAACAAATGATCTCTCATACGGAGATAACCCAGATGAATGTCCGTCGTTCTCTTTTTCAGGTTTATTGATTTCATGAAGTGAGATGTGTAGATGCGCACCAGTACCCGCTTCATTATGCAAGTAGAAATGTTAACCATCTTGCTGCTTGTGGAGTTTAAAATTCAATTGTACGAACCTTGATTATTAAAGGGTTTTGGAACGAACGTTGCTTTTAAACCAAATTGTGAGGCAACATCGTAAATCGTATTACGAGTCAGAACACAATTGTCTGCAGTGTTCAGAGGTGTTAAAGGTCCGGTTACAACTTCAAATTGTCCACTCGCCGACTCAGAATGACATTGCTCGATGGGTATATTTAGTTGCGATAGTGAATCGACAATTTTATCTATTACAGCTGCCGAATTGTTACCACGGAAAGATGCCGCAAGAAGGTATAACGTATCGTCAACGGGAATCGGTTTTACGCTATCTTGGGTATTTTTGAGCAAGACAAATTCCGACTCAAAACCAGCTAAAAAGCTAATTCCAAAGTCATTCCGTGCCGCGTCAACGATTTTACGAAGACAGTTTCGAGGGCATAACGAAAAATACTTTGAATCTTCGGTGAGATACGGTTTTCCATACTCGGGATCTACGGGTGTCCACTTATTCTCAAAAAAGCCATGAACAATTGCATGTTCAGGATAGTAAGGCAACTGTAACAATGTACTAAGATCTGGTTTGATTATGCACTCTCCAGATGCATTAACGCCGGTACCCTTTGGAACTTTATCTGCATAAAATGGCAAAGCCGTAAGGGCTCGCAAAGATGTCACCCCATTGAAAGCAACATAATCTTGGAACCGATCTATTGGAATAAGTCGGATTCGATATTGACTAGAGTTGTCCAGATACGCCAATCGCACCAACTTAACACCCTTACTCTTCAAAATTGAAATTTTCTTTTCCCCGGATACTCCGTATGCAAAATAATCTTTAGAAACAAGAGGATCAATTGGTGCAATTACTTGTCAAAGGCTATTCACTAAAAAAACATATAACATTCTTTCTTTTTACTCACCAACATTTGAACTTATTTTGGGTGTCAAATTTAGCTTATAAAGTGCATTTGAGTTTTCAAAAAATATTTGTTTGGCAATTTTTATTGCCTCATCAACCGTAAAATCTTTGTTGTCTACGGATTCCAATAAGACCTATGACGTTATATCGAAAAGGGTTCGATCAATTCTACGATGGATGTCTCTTTTTTTTAAAAATAAACCAATAAAATAAAACTCTCATTCCTGGAATCTACCTTTCCGATAACATCCCTGGATTGAACCACAGAGACATAGAAGGACTCCGGATGGCAATGTCCATCTGCAAAACGCAATATCATTTAAATACCAACCAAAAGATAATAATAATAACCCTCATGTTTTCCGTAAATTATAATCTTTTTTTTTTACCTGTGCTAAATAACATTCTATTTGTCGGAGAAAGTTCCAGCTTATAATTAAAAAGAAAGTGAACGTTGTGAGTCGTAACAAATCAGATCTTGTCTGTCGAGAAAAAGTAATTACCAGTTCTCGCAAGATCGATTGTTGACCAGAAGTAGAGATCAGTGAACTGATGAGCCCAATATCAACATAAACATTTGAATAAACAGACGCGAGGTATGCTGCCTGACGAGCATACGGGTAGGATGCATGTAAAAGAACAATCTTGGTGTCCTTATACTTTTCGATTAAAGGACGAAGATAAAGGGGATTTGAGTATAACAGATCAAGATCATTGTCACCCAATCCTGTTGACATAATTCATTTTAAATTTTAGACTACCAAGTAGACAGATAGGTAAAAAGAAAATTGCACTGTAATTATTACCCGTATGAAATTGGATCGGTATGCCGTTCTCAAAAGCAATATCGATCGCCACGTTTACTACGTGATCAATTATCACTTTATCGGTAAGCTTAAGTGTTCCTTGCTCAGTGGCAGACGAAGTATAAACTCTAAGGAAATTTCCCAAAGCGACGGCGACCTCTTCGTTAGTGAGGTTGCAATTAATGTTCAACCCTGATCGATATGCAGCGATACTCTTGAACGCAACGACCTCCTCGGATTCGGCAAGAGATCTAAGTTGGTTTCTCAACGGCTCCTCGAACTCGGCAAAACTTATTACTGCTTCGTGTGATTTATTCACAGATTCGATCAAATTTTTGAGTACAGACTCTGCAATACTCTCGACCCTTACAATTCTACGAACATCTTCGACCAGACCAACGTGTTTTTTAATATCCAGAAGATTTCCTAAATCGTAGAGCCCATCATCCAAAAGTAGACTTTGAATGCCTATAGTTTCAAAGCTAGCCTTACACAATTCATCGTATGATACAGTATCCCTCACTCGCTTGATTTCATCCCAAGAGGGTGCGCATTTATAAAGCCTTGCGAGATGCTGTATTGCCTGCTTTAGGGCACTTGTTTGAACAGCATCCTTCAACGCTTCACCGCGCGCCTCGGAAAAACAAACCTCCAACGGACATGTCAGGATGGAATCAGCAGTTAAAAGATTATGTGCATGGTTATCGATCAATGGGAAGGAAGCGACCAACTTAAGCAAAGCGTCACGATTGGTCATAATTGCGATGTGTCTAATAATCAAATTACATATCCTTGATGAGTGAAGACAAAAAGGACTTATAAAAGAATATATTGAAAATGGCACTTTATTTTTACCCGTTATCTTCAATTTCTTAAGAATTGACGTGATCCTGTATACTATCTATAACAATTTTAAAAGTGCCTGTGAGTTTGAATAGTTTTTCGAATCGATATGGATTTTTTTATAAAATTCGCATACTTCTGTTATAATTTTCTACGAGAAATAGTTAAGAAGAAAAGTTTGAAATCGATTCCATTTCATTTTATAAATTTGGCACTGCGACAAATTATTTGCCTTATCTGGCGGTTTCAAGTTTAAACCTAGTTTTTTACTTGCGTATTATACTGCACATATCTCCGGTGATTTCACATGAACATTTACATAGGACTGTGGCGTAAATCGTACTTTCCCACCAGGAGTTTCTCTATTGTTTAAAAATAAAAACAAACTACCGTATATTAAATATTTCGCACCGTCACCTGCAATTGGATCACCTGGACAAGAAATTAAAACTAAATAATCAAACAATATTTTTTTTTCTGCAAAATTGGTTCAACTTTGAACATGACATAAAGATGTGTAATTATAGTAATGATAAAGTCTATTATTGATTTTAATTATTTATAATAAATCTTTTTTAAAAAAATTATTTTTGTTAAAAAAAAACAATTTCAAATTTCAAATTAATCAAATATAAAAATTATTAATTTATAATTAATTGAATATACAATCATTAAACATTTAATAATTTAACTTCAATTTTAATTTTATAAATCTTATTTTTTAATTACGTTTTATGACCAATAAATTATTTGATTCCATTAAAATAATAATTACATTTTATTATTAATTAAATAAAATATTGTTATTTGTAATAAAAATATAAAGTCTTATCTAATAATATATAATGTTTATATGATAAAAGTAATAATTTGACAAGTTATAATAATATTGTCAATAACAATGTTAATGTAAATAATCTATGATAATTAATTTCAATTATTTTAATAATTTTTTTTAAAAATATAAAAATATTTATTTATAAATATTATAAAATAATATACTGTATATTATAATATCAAATAATTCTTTTAAGATAACAAAAAACTATTTATAATATTTTATATATAATTATAATTTCTAATAATATCATTTTAATATTGAATTTATTGATGATAAGCAATTAAAAATTACAATTACTGTAAATTGGATTATTAAATCAATAATTGATATTAGTAATATCATTACAATTAATAATTAAATTAATAATTAATAATTATGTATTGATTATATTATTATAATCAATAATTATTATAATCAATAGTATAATATTACAATAATTGATAATTTTATTATTTAGTTTATATTGATTTTTTTTTTGATTTTATTATAAACAGACTATAAAAGTCTTTTGTTTCAAAAATAATTATTAAATTTTAAAAATAAAATTATCTCTAATATACTTAAAAGCATTTTTTTTTTCTTTGATTGAAATAATTAATTTTGCCTAACTAAAAAATTACTTCATTAAGTTTAAAGTAAAAAAAATAAATTTCAAACCAGGATACTTGAATAAGCAATATTTCTTTAAACTCTTTTAACAAAAGACTCTTATTCTTTTATTTCTTTTGCTTTTATTTCTAAACATTTTATAACTATTGTTTCTTCTGTTAAATTTTTATTTCTTATTATTATTTTACAAATTTCATATTTGAATAAAGATTATGTACAAAAAAAAAAAAAACTCTTTCCCACAACACTCCAATTCGTAAAAAATTTCCTTTTTTGGTAATGACATGAACGGCAGATGGTAAACAGTCAGCAAGAACCTTTCACTGGGAAAGGAGTTCATCTTCGCTTATTGCAGGGTGCAAGGAGTCAATTAACTCTCCATAGAGAGGTGGATGCTTAGCGGAGAGCAAAAACCTTTTTGAACAAACTCTTTGCTTTACCAAGTGAAACCTATGTAAGCAACCTCCAAGTCAAAGGAAAACCTTTTTACCCATTTCTATACAAAACATATTCAAAGTATACATAACACTCCTTTTCTTTAAACACCTTTTAAAACTATCTCAAAAGACAGCATTTTATTTTTTTCAGAGTTTTTTGTTTTCTGCCCAGTCTCTATAGTTTTCACATAACCTTCACTCCATCAAAAACCGTCTTCAGTTTACCCCCATTAAAAGATCTACCATATTCAATACACCAATCAACATTCGTACAACTTTCAAAAAATCAAAACAACATAACAACCTACCAGATTGGGAGAGTGCGAGATCAGTGCCCTGCACGGGTTCTGGTAGTACCATCAAAACAAATCCAAATCAAGAAATACTATACAACTTCGTCTCATGACAAAACACAAACTTGAAATTAATCCACTACACAGTTAAAAGACTTTCATCAATCAAAATCTCAAATCTGATCACTAGACTACCCATACATAACATTCTCTGTAACATCAACAACATCGTGACAAATACTATAATAATGGAGTTGCGCCCCGTGTTGCCCTACTCATAAAGCAGCCAATGCTTGACTGGGCTGAGTAGTTTAAGTTTGCGACTTATTTAGGATGGTAGCAGGCTAAGGGTAGAGCTAATACCAATGCTCACAGAAATTGTTATAATTAATAATTTACCAGTTACGCCTAGTAGGAAAGGATTATTATAGTAATACTTTCTTTAATAAATTTGAAATTTCTTTTTTCTTTACGTCCTTTAATATGGAGAGGATTACCCCTCCATTTATAGATAGATAGTTCCTTCTACTTTTTCCAATTAGTGTTTTGTAGAATATATCTATCTTAAAATAGCGTTAGGCCAATGTTTATAGCAACATATCTCAATGTATCCTTATTGTTGTAAATTTTATACTTAGTTAGCTTTGTAAAAATTGAATCAACAATTAATAAAGATCACAATTTGAGACATGCCTCGCAAAAAAAAAAAAAAAAAGAATAAAGATTATGTATAATTGTAGTATACCTACATAAATATTCTTTAATAATTAAATATTTATCAACTAAGGTATTAAATAGATAATGTATAGTAAAAAGATCAATGATATTTTCTTAAATTTTCTTAAATATTGATTTAAAGTTAACAAGTTTTTAAAACAATCTTTTAAAAAAATTTTGTTTACTTCTAAAAGAAATAAATTCAAAAAATTTTTTATCTTCTTCATCCAAATGAAAAATTAATTCAAAGAATCTTGAAATCCTTGCAAAAGTAGATAACCATCTAGTTTTATTTTTCTTAATATGTTGAAGATTATAAATACAGTATAATTTGATTGCTTATTTATAATTAAAAATTTTATTATTAATTTATTTATGTTTTCTAATAAAGTATTATACAGTATTTTTCAATAAAATGTTTTACTGTTAAATTTAATCTATGACTTGTATATTCAATTAAAGAAATATTTAATATTTTAGCAAAAGTCTTATTTGTGTTACAATTTTCTTTAATCAAAAATAGTAAACAATTTGATTTTAAAGTAATTTTATAGTACTTAAAAATAGAGATAATAAATTATTTATAAACTTCAGCAGTTAAAATATTTTTTTTAGTAATATCTTTATAATAATTAAGAATTGAAATACAAATAATAGTAATTGTAATTTTTTTTTTTATTATAATAATATATAAATAAGACAATATAATGATTATTTTCTTCTTTTATCTATTCAATAGTAGTTCAAAAGTATTAAGCAATTCCTTTTTTAAATTTTATTTTATCTTTTCTATTATTCACAAAACAAAGAAACAAATTCAAATAAATAATAAATTTGATTCAACTTAGAATATTATTGATTATTGAAATAAGTGCAAAAATATTTTCACATTTTTTTTTATAATTTCTTGATAGTTTTTATATTTGCTACTAATATAATTAAATATATTTGATTAATTGATTCTTTTTCTTTTTATTAGTTACAATAAAAATTTCTTTATTATTTATATACTATTTGTATTTCCAATATTTTGTTTTTTTATTTAGTTTTATTAATTATAGGTATTTTTTTTGATATTGAAAATTGAAAAAAAATTGTTATCTTAACAATTAATATATAATTGAAAAAAAATTGTTATCTTAATAATTAATATGTAATTGAAATTGATAAATCCATTCAATCAATAATTGAATAATATAAAATTGTAATTATTGATGATTCAATTATTTATTGCATATAACTGGAATTTATTATAAGATTAATATAATAGATTTTAATTTATATATTAAATTTATTATAGGTTAATATTAATTTGATTCTATTTTTAATATTAATTTAAAATCATATATATAAGATACATTAAAAACAATTACAAATTAAATAACAAAGAAAAAATTATATAAGCTTTAAAACCAAAGGTGCATAAAATTTTAACAATAAAAAAGAATAGAAATATCAATAGAAAGAAAAAAATAAAGAAAATAAAAGAAATTAAAAAACTAGTTTTTTAAATATTTAATATAAATTTATAAATTTAACATACAAGTGATTTTAATATAATAAACAAGATTGATTAATTATAGATTGTTTGTTAAACATTGATTTTAGAAATAATATAAATTTTAAAATTAAAATTAAAAAAATCACAAAATGTAAACCGTAAATGGTAATATTAAATGGTAATAATATGCAAAAGCAGACATGATTAATATAATAAAAAGTTTAATATGTAGTAACCTTTACGTTTAAAAAAAATTTCAAATTTTTTCGACTTTCAATCAATGCTTCGATCAACATACTGTATTTGTACATGGTTTCTTTTATCGAGGGTTGACCATATGCAATTATCGTTATATGACCTAAATAAGTGATTAACATGATTCTTTTAGAAAGGTATATATCATAAGAAAATTAATGTTTTATTAATACATGTGAAAATAATACAAAAGACTACTGTATATGAAAACATTACTTAATTTCAATGGCATTGCAAATAAAAACAATAGTAAAAAAATAC